GTATATATATTTAGTTGCAACAGTGCTTCTCCGAAAAAAGGTCCATCTATAAATATAATTTTATTTATTTTTATTTTTTAGGTTTTAGTTCTTTTAAGTTAAAATTCTCCATCTCTCTAGGTATTATTTTTTGAATGGTGTTAACCTGCTGAAGTTTTGCCAGAATGGTGCCTGGCTGCGTCTGGGTTCGGTGAACTCGAAGACCTGGGACTGGGATATGCCATCTGTCACCATGTATTGTCCCTGATTTAATGGATCCTGGGGTGGTGGGTAGGCTGGAGGAACCGACTTGGAGTAGCTCACACCTGCATCGATGATTGGGGGGAAAAAGAAACAGATCAGTCAAAGTGCAATTGGGTCAATAGTCTTTCTTCGTCATGCTATCGCTTCTTATCACTTAATTACCGGGTCCCAAACACCAGGGAGAGAGACGTGCTAGAGACGGCAAACCTCCAGAGGAACGCAGCGGCTGCCTCGAGCTCGGCTCGCAGCTACCTACACTACACCGTGAGTTGAAGGATTGGAAAAGGTCCATTACTTTTGTATTTCTGCCCTCATGGAAAAGTCCTGTGTGACCTAAGGAGGCCCGGACCTGGCCAGGCCACGTGCAGCACCAGCCTGGTGAGGCAGAGGCAGACAGCCGCGTCCTTCGCCCCGCTCACAGCTGACACCGTTTTGAGCGTGGTTTTACCCTCCCGCCCCACTGCGCTTCCAGAGTGGTTCTGCCCCGACCTGCCCCAGTGACCAGCCCTGAGCAGTGACCCTGAGGAGCACCCGGCACCGGTTCCTGCTCCAGGACAAAGCGGAGCTGCTTTGGAGGAAGCGCTGTGCTGCTGGGACCGCGCTACCCAGCACTACTCTGCCTGCACAAGGGGCAACTCGCTGTTCCCTGTAGGAGTTTGTAGGACTTTTCCATAGGGTTCGTTTTAAATTTACCAGTCTGGGTTCAGCCAAAACTGGCTGCAACACAGGAGGGGCTGATTCTGCTCAACCCAGACTGGCAAGGCTACACTTCCAGGTTCTAGATGCTCAATTCCCACGTCCGTGCGGCACAGCTTCTGCACAGGAATGGGGAAAGGGAGAGCTTCAGCAAGCTGGGACCTACACACCCTGCTGTAAAGGATGGTGTGGAAAGGGCAGCTCTGGGTGAATGGAAGTGAAGCAGAAGGGGTGCGCGTTACCACCAGTGTAGACTACAGGGAACAGCACTACAGCTACTTCTATATTCCCTTCCCGCAACACCACTGATGAGGGACAATCCCTCCTTCAGCCTCAGGGCAGCGTGATGGGCTGGAAGCACAACTCGAGAAGGGCAGGAAGGAGGGAGGAGCAGGGCTCTGGAGCGGTTGCTGCAAGCTCTGGCCATCTCTGGATCCCCTCTGCCGCACGCAGAACTGCTCTTCCTTCTGCGGGGCGGGCAGCCCCGGCGGCGTGGCGGGTGGAGGCTCCCAGGGCCATCGCCGGGCCATTGCCTCCCCCGGCTTTAGCCACCAGGCAGATCAGAGTCCTCGTCTGGAAAGCGGGATGGCTTCACCCACCTACCTCACACGAGGGTTGTGAAGCTAAATTAATTAATGATTGTAAAACACTTTGAGATCCTCGGCTGGGAAGGTGCTAGAGAAGGCAAAATACGGTGATTAGCACCCAGGTACCACAGCAACGTGTGTCAAAGAAATGCGACTCTTTGCATTCAGTTCACGGTCCCTGCCCACACACAGACACATGCTTCATGGGACCAGCCCGGCACGGGGAGGCTGCACACAGTCAGGTACTTACAGACAAGGGAAAAGCCTCACAAAGTGCACTCACGGAGCTCACCGGACAACTTCTATACCTTATTGCGTTGTAATTTGGATACAAAGCTGAGGCTTTAGTATGGGTTTAGGAGAGAGGATTAATTCACTTCCCCTTGCTATAGAATTTACCAGTTAAGGGTTGTTACATCCTCAAAAGGTTCAGGCCAAACTGAGATACATGTTGACTATGTCTAACTGATTTCTCCTTCACAGCAAATACCATCAAATCACGCAGCTCTGTCCACTGCAGGGAGCAACCAAGCTCTTCCCTTACACTGGATAAAACCAGCTCCATGATTCATACTTATCAACCTTTAACAAATTCATCACAATTAGTATTTCAAACTTACTTGAAAAGCACAACCTGGAGATGTTCTGTGTTTGTATCTATCTGCACGCTGAGTAGCATTACTCATCAACAAGCTTTCTACTCTGTCCTTCCCAAGCTCCTCTCTCCCACAGAAAGCCTGTAGAGCTGAGCCCTTGTGTCAAACCCGGACAGGGTCAGTTCTAGGATACCTGGCACAGCTCCTGTAGCATCCTTGTTGACAGGCCCCGACTGTCTACGTGGATTTACCACACTTTGTCACTTACACCAGTGACATCCTGTAAGTGCAGAGCATGGGCTTGAGCTCATCCTTCCCTTACCACTTCCATCCCTTCTACCACTGTCCTGTTCCAAGGAACCTTGCTGGAAGGCAGGTCAGCATGTGGGCAGAGTCTGCTCTGGGGGCAGACTCCAGACCTGAACCCGTGCAAGAGCACAGACATTCTCTTGGAGGCCACCAGCCTTCAGTGCCTTGGCCACTTTTCCCAGCAGAGACTGGAGAGGAACTTCAGGATCTATAGGAATTACTTCAAAGGCAGTAAGTCATTACTTAACCACACAGGAATACTAACCACAGAAGCACTGTGAACCTAAAGCTGCTGCTGAGGGACATAGAGCTATTGTTCCTACCTTTGGAGGACTGAACCCACACTGCTTTAACGACACGGCCCAAAGCCTTCTGCATCCTGTGGCTGCAGAGTAGAGTCAGTGCTGTGATGCACCAGTCAGCAATGCTGAGCTGGACTGAGCTCTTTACTGTCTCTAAACCAGTTAGTGGAAGGTGAACTGATGTATTTTAATGATGATACAGAAATGCTAATAAATCTCCTGGATCAGCAAACTGTTACACACTTGGAGGGCTGAGGAAGTAGAGGAAGGACAGTCTGGCTGAGGTCCACTGACACTGATGGAGTTACACTGCAAAGAACGCAATCCATAGTCTGTCTTCTCCAGAAGAGAACAAGGCAGACTTCCCTGGCCAGATCACCAGCAACCCCCTCCTGTTCTCTCCCAAAACAGCCTTTTTGGGCCAAGCTCCTGAAGAAGTCTGCTCCTGCCTGCAGCACCCCCATGCTACTTATCAAATGCCTCCCTGGCCTCAGCGCCCCAAACCACAGCTCCCAGTGGCGTGCGGTGACTGGGTGCGTGTGGGCATGCAGAGACACGTCTGTGCCCTGGCAAGTCAGGCTGAGAATTCCATAGAACACATCTTCCTGTGACACTGGGATACAGCACTTACCAATAGCCTCAGGTGTCCCAAGAATGGCTTTGGGGTGGGGACTGTACCCACGTTCTTGACAAGGAGAAACACAGGAATGGGTTGGGGGCAATTCACCTAATCCACACATCTTCAAATCCCCAGAACCAGCAATTCTGGGAAGCAGCATGGCAGGTATTTTGCTGTTCTGCTCTGGAGTCGTTTGCTCCCTCATCAGAACTCGCGGCCCTGGTGCACAATTGTCTCTCGAGGGATTAGTTTTAATATGCAAAGCCATAACTCCAGTGCAATTCCAGCAAAGCTCTTTTCCAGTGCTGCTGCGGGCTGCTTGGGGAACAGCAGTCAAAGTGCCAAGGGAAAGGATCGATAGAGAAGCAATGATTTCTAGGCACGGCTGCTGCTGCCTTCCCAAGGCCTCGGAAAGACCAGCCTTGGAGCTCCTTCTGCTGGCTCCTGCCTAACTCTGCACTGTCAGACCCTTCAGCAGGGTGGGGCTGTGGAAATGCTCAGAACAAGAAAACTCCAGGGTTGATGATCTGGCGAGACAAGCGGGAGATGCTGCGCTGTCAGGTGAATCACTGCTGCTTTTAGCGCTGGGCAGCGTCAGCGGGAACCTTCCGGATCTCTCAGCTCAGAGGAAAACCATCACCAAGATTTAAAACTGTCTCTTTTTTCCCTTCCAGGTCTTTTATCCGAGGTTACCACACGGCTCCATTAGGACTGGGAGCTTTGGGAGCACGCTATGAACACACAGGCGATCCACATGGGCATGTGCAGACAGACCCAGCCAGGACACAGCGGGACACCACGGCAGCACTGCACCTTTCCAGGGTCAGTACACAACACAGAGCACACTCACACTTCCCTATATATAACCACGTGAACTCACCTTGCAACCTGTTTACTCCACTCTCAACCTTTAAGATTTTAGCTTATACTTGATCAGGAGCTATTTCATAGGCTTCTCTCTCCCTTCTCTCCACTCTCTGGACACCCTGCTGTCATCAGCCACAGCTGAGTGGGAGACAAGGAGATCTCAACACCTACTTTCTCTGGAGGTGCTGGTGGGAAGGGAAGCAGCACCGTGCTCTGAGCCTCCGTCTGCCTCTGCGCCCAACAGCACCTGAAACAACTCACATCCTTCAGGAGCCATGCCCAGAAATCCCATAAAATCCCCCTTCCTCCGGAATATTCCCTGAATACACAACACAGGGTAGCTAGAACCATTCCTCAAGGACACTAATTGTTGTACAGTTACTCCTGCAATAGCAACAAGCTTCAGTTACAGAAATCAGCAACGGCTGAGTGGGTACAGCCCTTTGCCCTTCTTCAGCACATTTCAACAGAGGATCTCAAAGCACCTCACCACCAGTCACTGGGCTGCTGCTCAGTTTCCAGGTAGCAAACTGTGCTGTGTCTGATCTTACTTCTGCTCCCTGGCTGCAGAGCTTGTTTGTGCAGCACAAGGTGGGGTGGCAGCTGTGGACAGGAGACAGCTTGAGAAATGCAGCACAGGAAAACAACTAATCTTGTGTCCTGGCTCCTCCACAGCCAGGCACAGGATCCACAAACACTGAGGTAACTTGACCTTGCTGAGCCTATTTAATCAAGTCTGTTCCTGCAACCTGATGTCATTAGACTAGACATTGAGATAATGATCCCTCGTGTGATAAGCAAAAGCTAAGCGAGGCAAGATGAATAAATGATACCAGGGCTTTATCAGTCAAAGCCAGGTGAGAATTAATGTGTCCCATCTCCTCCAGCACTGTGCGCTGACAGCAAAGATCATGCCATGCTGGTTCCACTGACAAGGGATCAGTTCATCCATGGGATGCAGCCCCTCCTGGGTAGCCGCTCACCCAAAACACCTCCCCAGGCTGACAGCGCAGGAGGATCTGGACTGACACACTTGGCTCTTCCAACGAGGGCCAGTGGAAAACCCAAGAGACCCATTTCAAATCCTGCCAACAAACTCTCTCAGTGCCCCTTGCCCAGTCACTGGTACCATCCTTGGGGGTCTCCCAGCCCAGAACTTCATGATTTGCCCTAGCCTGCGTATCTGACCAGATCCAGATGATACTGCTGGCTCCAGCTGCGCTACTAATGCCTTGAGTGAGAAGCCACCTACCTGTGAGATACCACCAGTGACACTAATGCCTGTGGGCCCAAAGCCTTCACCTGCAATCTCTGTATCAAAGGGAAATGACCCATATTATCTGAACATGCGAGTGTCCCTGTTTAAAGTGGTTAGTCCCTGTGTTGCTCAGTCTCTTTTGATCCCCACAAGACTATGCCTACATGTGGGAATGTGATGGGGAAACTGTCAGGGCCACATCAATCTTGTTAGCAAGGAAGATGTAATAAATAGGCTTCAGCACTTAGGAGAACCACAGGAGGCACCTACACACTCCATTACCTGCTAAGACCTGTCCTGACCAGCTGGCTGGAGCCAGCACGAGTACACTAACACTCATCTCATTGGGCTCCGCAGCCTTGCTGGGGCAGAGCTTGCAGTGCAGAGCATGAGAAGTCAGAGAAAAGCTGCTGGGTGTTTGGGTCAGGGCTTTATGACAGCTCACTGTGAGCTCAAGTGATCAGAAAGGCA